GCTCCCTCTGATGGGCACGATGATGAAAGGTGAGCTGGTTCTGGCCGCAGGGTTGGCCGCAGGTTCTGCACTACTCTCTGCTGCTCTGGGCCCTGGCTTATGCTGCTGCTGCTGCCACGCGGAAGCCTTCCCCGGCTCCAGGCCCACGTCATCTGCAGTGAAACGGCTGTGTGGGGATGGCTAATTAATGGATTTGAAGGGAACCCTTCTGAGCGTCTCATTCAGTACAGGGGTCTGCCTCCAGAAATGGAGTGGTGATCCCTGGCTGGGATGGAACCCCACACTTGGCCTTGGGAAGACCCCTGGGGTGGGGCTGGGCATTGAATGCTCAGGTTCTCCCTCAAAAGCCGGCCAACCCGGCCGTCCTCGGGAAAGATTCTCAGAAGACAATATCCAGGAGAGATGTGCTTTGACTCCAATGAACTTTTTGTGTTTGACTGTTGGATTTAAATTGGGGAAGGAGAGAGAAAGGAAGGCCTGGATCGCCCTGGCTGCCACCACACGCCTTTGCTCACACCGTTCCTTCTTCCTGTAGGAAATGCGTTGGTCCCGCTGCACCCCCAACCACCAGTCTCTCTAGTGATTAAAGCGATGCCTGTCCTTCACAGTCCACCTTGAATGTCACTTTCTTTCTGGGACCCTCTTTCTCTGGCAGCACCCTTCTCCCCCTGCCTTCCATGTGCAGTCCCCTTCGCCAGTCGTGTGCTGTCCTGAAGTCATTGGTGTGCAGGGCGTTTTGCCTTCTGTTAGACTGTGAGTTCCTCCAAGGCTGGGGAGCTTCCCAACATATTCACGTGTGGCATGAGCTCTTGCACGCGGCAGGGCTCAGTGGTGGATTCTGGAGTTGCTCCCAGAAGGGCTCTCAGCTGGCCGTTGCTGTCTGTTCTGGCCTCAGTCCTGAGCAGGAAGTCACAGAATGAAGAAGGTTGAGGACCATGAATTGGAGAAGAAATTTGTGTGAGGTTGGGAAGGTCATGGGGCTGTGGGGAAGGAGGTGCCGTGACCCCGTGTCAAGTCTCAGCACTGCCCCCTTCAGGAAGCTCAGGCAATTTTAACAGGAGCTTCTATTTAAGGAGTGCCTGCTCTGGGCTATGCACTGTGACCAGTGCTTTACCACAGTTGTCCCATACGCCAAAGAACCCTGAAAATGGGGGGGCGTTTTATACCCTTTTTACAGACAAAGTGAACCCTGAGCTTCTTGTAGGTTGTACTGGGTCACAGTGCACACCCAGGCCTGTCTGGGTCACCCACTGCATGTCACATCTGTCTCCAAGACAGTGGACTCTCCACACCTTTGTTTTCTACCTTAGCAGTGGAGGTGTGGAACGAGGGACCTGCACTGAAGTCCAAGTGGGTGTTCTCTGACTTAACCCTGGGGGTGGAGCTGGGGCAGGGTGCAGGGGATATGAAGCAACTCCGCCCCCACCCTCCCGCACTGGCTCTGGAGAAATGAGTCAGGCCTCTGGCCACCTCTAGGCCTCAAAGGAAAAACAGGAGCCTCTGCCCACTGGGCTGGCCTTTCTTCCTGGCGTCCACCTCCCGGAATTCCTACCTGGCAGCCTGGAGGGCCGGTCTTCCACCCGAGAGGAAACTGGAAAAGCAGCCCCGGGCTCTTTCCTTCTGCCTTGGCATCCAGGTTGGAGAACGGACACCTTTCCCTACCTGCACTCCCTGGCACCTGTCATGGGCCCGTTCCCCTACATCTGCTGTGGTTCACTGTTTGTGAGGCAGCCCAGTGCGTTCCCAACTCCCTCCCAGCCCCCCACCCCTGGGGGTTTTCTGCTTCTCCTGGTCTTAAGAAGTGCCCACTGGTATGGAGGCCACAGGGAGAGCACAGTAGGGCAGTGAGAGGGTGTGAGCATGTCACTGTGTCCCAGACCTGCTGCCACTCTAGGTCTTCACTGCTCCTAAGTTAGCTTTGAGCTTCTACTGCCATGGGACCAGCCTGCCCACCTGAGCCGATGCTGTCCCCCCATTTCTGGCACACGGTGTCCGTTATCCCCATCACTGCTATCAATGCGCCCTGTCTCCCCAGTGACCCTCTGCTTTGATGCACCTGCTCTGTTTTCAGAGGTCCCCTCCAGCCTCCTCAAATCAGGTCTCGTGCCCAGAAAGCACCCAGTCTGAAGGCCGCTGGCATCCTCAGCTCCCAGCTGGGCCACCCTGACATGCTTCTCAGCTGGGTGACAGGATGGCAGGGAAGGGGCTTCTGAGTCAGAGGCAGGTGCAGCCACCATCCTCATCCCCTTGGATGACATCTTAGGTCCCCAGTGACTGGAGTGTGTAGCCAGGGTTGAGAGCTTCAGGTTTAATTCATGGCCTGGAGCTGATGTCAGTGGGGATAAGAGCAGGGGGTGTGCAGGGCACTGGGCCCTTCCATTGGGTCACCCCTAACAGGTGCAATGCACAGAGCAGAGCAAGGGACCGTGGTGGGCCAGCGTGTGTGTAGAGGAAAGCCGAGTTAAGGGGTATATATGAAAGAGGAAAGGACGGAGGAGCTGTGGGGTGATGGCGCCCAGGAGCCCTCAGGAGAGGTTCCATGATTACCCAGCAAGGTGGCACCCTGAGAACAGCCTGGCGGAATCCCAAGGGTGGGGCACCTGGTTGGCCTAGAAGCCCCATGCCGGAGCTGGGGCAGGGCAGGGGTAACCTGGCTTGCCAGGGGTAGAAGAATGAAGTTTCTGTGCTGCTTATCAGGACAGAGGCTCCGGGACAGGATGGGAGGAGGCTTCCACGGGCTGCCTGGCGGATAGTTGCAGTTGGCGCTGCATCACAGCGAGGACTTTGGACAGGGAGCCCCACCTTGACTTGCTGGTGACATTGGGTGGCAACTCTCTGTGGTTAGTCTGGGAATAAGTCATGTTCTTGCCTGTGAACATGAGGGCAGGTGACGGCAATGGACAGCAAGCCAGCCACAGAATGCTGATTCCACATCTGACAAGGGCATTGAGATCTGGTCAGACACCTTGACCTTGCTCAATGGAAGACCCTCATTGGGCCTTTGGTTCCACCTGATCAGATGTCCCTGCAGCCAGCCACTGGGATAATAGGGCAGAGGTCAGCAAACTACAGCCTATGGGCCTGGCCCAGCCCACCTCCTGGTTTTATAGATGAAGTTTTATTAGAACACACCCACACTCATTTGCTTACATACTGGCTGCTCTGCCACTACGGAGGTGAATAGTTGCATCAGAGACCCAGTGGCCCTCAAAGCCCAAAATATTCACAGCCTTTCCCGGGGTGGGGAGGCGGCCTCGTGGGTCATGGGATGAGATCAGAGCTTGTCTGAACCTTTCCTCCCTGAGAAGTGAAAGGAGAGAGCTGCCATAGGTACATAGGCAGGGATCCGCGTGAACCCCTGGGAGAGGCCCCCAGACAGCGACACGGCCGGGGGCCTGGTGGGCAGGTGTCTTCTGTCTGTCTACTTCGTTTTATGAACAGTTGTCTTAAGTGAGAGACACCGGAACATTTTTTATTCAAGAACTAACTGATTTCTCCGACGCTGTCACTTTGATGAGCTGATGGGTGGATGTTGAGGGGAAACGTAAAGTTGTCAGGAAGGGGCAGGATGGGAGTTCATTAAATGTGCCGTGTGTAAGCCACGTGTTAACGGGTCCAAGATTCTGGGGGCCTGTCTTTCCCCAAGTGTCCCCCTGGTCAAGGAGACCCTGAGGAAAACGCCGACCCTGGGGCCTCCCACGTGTCAGGGCACCTGAGCCCCGTGGGAACCGCGTGTGCACGAGCTGGGGGAACAACAGAGAACTCGGGCCGAGGTTCAAGGCCAGGCGTAAAAAGGCTAAATACTAAACACTGAGGATTGTCCCCACTGCTCTCTGCTGGAGGATTGCCCCCAGAGCCGGTCTAATGGGACTGTGCAGGGCAGCACGTGCGTCCCTGTCCCAGGAGCCTGAGGTGGGTGAGCAGGCAGGAGGACAGGGCAGAGTACCCTCTAGTCACTGTCCAGAGCTGACGGGTGGTTTCCTGTTAGCAGCAGGAGGGACAGATGTGAGCAAGTGGACCGGAAAGGCAAGTGACAGTGGAGCTTCCCTTTTCTATCTAGTCCAGCCACAGTCCTTTGGGCCACGTGCCCAGCATGGCCTGCCAAATGATCAGGCGGGTCGTCCCTGGTGAGGCTGCCCTGTGGGCCTGTCCGGCCAAGGCCGACACTCTAACGCTGCCTCCCCGGTGTGTGCAGACCGGGCCTGATGCTTTTGCTCCCTCTGAAAGTGGATATTCAGTTTCTGCGCAGTAGTTCGCAGCGTGCGTGATGAGGGTTCTCCACTGACGTGCGCACCTCTCTCCTTGAGGTCACAGACTGCACTTGCACCCACCTCACTCTGTTGCTCCCTCCCTTTGTACTTCCATAGCTGGTTAATGCATGAAGCAGGCTCTCTGAGCTCGGCTCTGACCAGCTGACCAATTTGCACAGCACAGAATCCTGCAGAGACAGGAAGGGAGAGTACCACAGTGCTCACTGTAGGGGCCCAAAGAGGTTGGGTAGGTGGTCCAGGCATGCACGGAGTGTCCACAGGGCAGCTGAGCCCAGATGCAGGAGATCTGGGTCACTGCCCGATAAAATGTGATTTATCGACCTCCATGCTGTAAGGGAATGGAACCAAAACATCCTGAGCACCTCATCTGTGCTAGAGGCTTCGCAGGCATTAGGTCACGGGGCCACAGCGATCCTTAACGGTAAGCATTACGATCCCTGTGTAAACCCTTCCATGTTACATATGAGGACCCAAGGTGTGGAAAGTTAAATGATTTGTGCAAAGCTGAACAGGTATGTGGCAGAACCTGGACCATCCTAACCCCCAGCCAGCATGCTCTCTGCTCTACTGCAGCATCGTGAGAGCGGAGCGTCCCTAGAGACCAAGGCCAGCATGAAGGGGCGGCGGATCCGCGGCCCCCCTGGGTCTCTGACACTGGAGGCCAGGGGCCCCTGTCTGTGGGGCACTCGGTTCCAGATGACCGTCTTCATGTGTGTTCTTGTCTTTCAGGAACCTAGCCATTGGAATTGGGATCCAGAATTTCCCAGAGGGCCTCGCTGTCAGCCTTCCCTTGCGAGGAGCTGGCTTCTCCAACTGGAGAGCCTTCTGGTAAGTGCTGGAGGGCTTCGCTGTCGGAGGCCAAGGTCGGGGCTGGTGCAAGGCTCCGAGCAGTCCTCTGTGTCGGCTTCTTTCCGCAAGAACAACCTCTTCTGACCTGAAAGTGAATCTGGACCTCTGGTAAAATGCTGAATTTTGCACTCCAGGATTGGGAGGAACCTTAAGAAACTCATCTCTTGACCTTCAACCTTTCCATAAGCCAGCCCAGATGACCATCTTTTTTTTTTTAAAACCCCTCTGTGGGTGGCCATGCCACGGCCATTCAGTGCTACACTTTCTCTCCCTCGGGCAGGAAGAACTGAGCTAGACCTCACGTCCGCTTTAACACCACATGTGCTGACTTGGGCTCATATTGCTACAGCCTTTGTCCCCAAGAGTCGTTATAGAAGCTTCTGTCATAACCTTGGTCAGTGCGAAGATGATGTCAGTTGTGTCTGGCAGAAGATGCCTAGTGTTTTCAGAGTCCCCAAAGGGCTTTCTAGTCTGCTCCTTGATTTTATCTTTTCAGTGACATATAAGGTGAGTCCCCAGTGTTCAGGGGAGGAAACCGTGGCCCACAGTGTAGATGATTTGGCTTCCTAGTCCTGACTCAGGACCGGAAGTCTAACTTTCTGCCCCTCAGCTCAGGGCTCCGCCTTGGAACACCCCTCTGTTAAAACTCTCACTCCTCTAGATTGTATGGTAAGATCATTTAAAAGGACTGATAACAACCACGATAAAAGTGCCTTCCATCTTGTAGGACCTGTGACCTACCAGTTCTTACACATGCTGAAGTTGTTTTATTCTCACCCTCCATGACCTCTTTCTCCACTGTGGGAGTCTGTGGAAGAGGGCGGGTGGGGGCAGGGCAAGGCGGCCTTAGCAGTGTCTTTAAATGCAAGTTCCAGAAGCCGTGACCATCATTTCACGTGGTGGAACAGGGCATTGTGGTCAGCATGCAGAGGCTGAGATTGAACTTCGCAGTTGTCGCTGCAGTCTGGGCTTCACGTCACACCCATTTTTTCTGGAAGTGACAACACCGATGTCATGGCCCCTTAGAGGATTCTAAAGCACAGTGTCGCCCCTGTGCCCACCGTGTGCTTCCAGCTGGCCAGGGAGAAGCAGGGCGGGGGTGGGAGTGCCCAGGCCCACAGCTGCCCTGTCACCACCCCGCCACCTGGGAGGCTGGGTGGGGACGTTGTCTCACTTCCGTTGCACAGATGGGAGGGCTGAGGCTCGGAGGTAGTGCATGTCCCCAAATGCCACAGCCAGGGGCAGCGGGAGAGACGTCTGTTGGTGCTCAGCCTGGAGCAGGTGTCTCTGCCAATGGGGCTGGACCATGGCGCTCAGGCACCGGCCTGTCTCCTCTGCGAGGGCCCAGCACCCACGTGGCTGCCGTTTTAATCAGGGCTCTTTGGGCTTTCAGCCACAGAGACTCACTCTCACTGGTGCCAAATAAATAAGTAGATAGATAAGTTGATTGATTTTAGAAAAAGAAGAAGGGAGAGAGGGAGAGACATTGGTGTGAGAGAGAAACATCCATCAGTTGCCTTCTGTATGCACTGCAACTGGGGATCGAACCCACAACCTTTTGGTGTACGGAATGACATGCCAGGGCAAGGGATTTTTGTAAAAAAGATAAATCTCGCCTTAATCTAAGATGAGGGTTGTGGGGCCAGACCCTCAATATAGCCCCAGCCAGGTAGGTCACCTGTTCTGCAGAGGTGGGTGGGTGCAGCCCCCTCGGAAGGGAGGTGTTGTGGCCTGACCCCCAAGACATGCCAGGCACAGCTGTCCTTGGGCAATGTCCCTACTGCTTTGAATCTGTGTGTGCTCCCCGCAAATGACAGTGCAGGCACCAGGTGATGGGCGGGCACGTACTGGGGTGTTTCCACATGAAGGGTGGTAATCAGTCACACCGGGAGCGAAGCGTGGATGCGTGTTACCTCATGGGTGCACCTTGGACACATGCTGAGTGAAACACATCAATGGAAAGGACCGTGTATTGTGGGATTCCATTTACATAAAATGTCCAGAACAGGCAAATCCATGGAGACGAAAAGCAGATGAGTGGTTGCCAGGGGTGGGGACAGGAATGGGGAACAGCTGCTGATGGGCATGGGGTTTTTGGGGTGGTGGAAATGCTCTGGAATTAATAGTGGTGACGGTTGCACGGCCTTGTAAGTAGACTGAAAACCGCTGAACCGCACTCATGAAACGGGTGTGCCGTATGGCGTGTGGAGTAGGTCTCAGTGACACTGTTATTTCAGAAAGACAATGCGGGAGACTGAAAACTGGAAACCAAAAACCTGGGGTGGGGTCGGTGCCTGTACTGCACTAGGTGGTGGGGAAGGAAGAAGAGGAGGTGAGCAAACCAGTGAAAGGCTTCTGCACTGCTGGGCTCAGATACAAGGTCCCACGCAAATAACGCCCCTTTCTCATTACAAACTCTTTCATTCCGAAATCATAAGCATGTCATTTTATAACGTAACAGTATCGTACTCAAGCACACCATATGACATTTGAGGTGAAAGGTTCAAATTAAAACTATAAAAGACCACGCCCACGTCATTGCCCTACCAACCACACTCAAGCGGGCGTTGCTTCTGCCGGCCCCTGCATGGTGTGGGATAGACGCGCCATTTCCGGGAGTCAGCAGTGTGAGCGTGCAGAGGGCCTGCGGGATCTCCCAGGTGGTACCCATCTCTGTTTTCTCCCTAGGTACGGGCAGCTGAGCGGCATGGTGGAGCCTCTGGCTGGCCTCTTTGGGGCCTTCACCGTGGTTCTGGCTGAGCCTGTCCTGCCCTACGCTCTGGCCTTCGCCGCAGGCGCCATGGTCTATGTGGTCATGGATGACATCATCCCCGAAGCTCAGATCAGGTGGGAGAGCTTCCCCACCCCCATCTGTCCCTGTCCGGATCCCAGCCCCCAAATCTGCCTTTGTTTTCGTCTGCCACTCCTCTCTTTCCACCCCGTCCTGCCCCTCTCCAACATCAGCCTCAGCCCCTCCGCAGCTGTGCTGTCTGAAACTAAAAGAAAGAGGAGGAACGGGTAGGAGGTGGAGACAGACCAGGTAATGTGAGGCAGTGGCATATACACACCCTCCTCTCTGTCCCCCCATGGAACAGACTATTATTTTTTAATATTCTCCTCTCTCCCTCCTCCTGTTTCCCTCTCTCCCTTTCCCTTCCCTCCCTCCTGCTGTCCCTCCCGCCCCAATCCCACCCTTCCTCCTGCCTTCTCCAGATTCTCCTGGGGCTTGGCGTGGGGAGAGAGGGGAGCTTTGTTAGCCAAAGCTATACGTCCATGGTCTCATTATCTAGCTGCAGGCCAGGTCCCGGGGCTGGGGGCGTCCTCTCTTTGTTTCAGTTGGTTTGTATAGCAGAATGACTTTGAGGCTAGTTGACAAGGTCAGATTAAATAAGCTCTTCAAGAACTGAATCGCCACTTTTTATTATTCACCCATGGGTTCCAGAGCCGGGATAGGTGGCCTTTGGCATGTTATTCAGCTCCCTCTGCTTCAGTCTCCCCACCGGTAAAATCGGAATAACCGCCTCGTGGTTATCCTTCTGGACGACACGAGTCGATCCGTGTGTCCGGCCCCGTGTGAGCCTCACGAGCGTCAGCTGTTGTTGTCATTACTCATAGCAGGAGGGTGTTTGCTACAGGAGTGGGCCTCGCAGAGGGTGCTTTCAGCTTGGACAGCGTCTCAGTGTGTTAAGGCCTTCCTTTCCTTCCTTCCCTTCCCTCCCAGTGGCAACGGGAAGCTGGCGTCCTGGGCCTCCATCCTGGGGTTCGTGGTGATGATGTCCCTGGATGTGGGCCTGGGCTAGTGCCGAAGCGCTCGTACCCCAGGAAAGGCCGCACGAGACCATGGCAACGCTCGGCCGCCATGGGACCACGGGCCTCTCCGCATCGGAACGTTCTACTTTTTCTCCTGTTCATCTCGTTATCCTGATTGACTCTGATTACATGACAGTTTTTGCTTTTCTTCTGAGGGAGACATAGGTTTTATTTCCGGGCTTCCAAGGTGTCAGTGGAACAAGAGAATTTGGGCCACTGAATGGAGTCTCGCTCCAGTGGGGTTACAGTCCGGGAGACCTCTGGGACTTCAGTCTCCCTCACCAGACGCAGTGGCAGCGCCCCAAGGCCACCTACAGAAGCAAGCTACCCTGAGAGAAGTCTCCTCGGCATGTTTGCCTAGTGGCTCAGGGCAGAGTGACCAGGGCAGCTCTTGTCTGTTCCTCCTGATCTGGAACTGGAGCATCGCGGACAGAGCTGCCTGCCACTCTCCCGGTCCCACCGGCCCCAGGAGGGGTGTACCTCCCTCTGCCTCCCCAGGGAGACGCTGGGGGGGATGGGGCTGCCGACAAAGGGAAGAAAATCAGCTAGCCTCTCTTCTCCCTCTCTCTTCTCTCTTCTCTCTCTCTCTCTCGTGAAGATTTACATTGTGAGATTACGGGAATTAGGGAATCGCGACAACTGTGAACACACTGTGAGCCCTGCAAGAAGAAAAGGCTGTAGCTTTGATCAGAGACCTCTGTTCTCTGGGGATCCCAGGAGCAAAGTGGTTTGTCATGGTTTCCAAATCCCTATGACATTTGTTTTGATAAGTTCAAAGCCTTCATTTTGCTAAGAGACTGGGGGACACCAGCCAACTGCTAGAACTCAAACCCTTCATTTACCTGTGGATGAAGCCACTTAAGCTAATTTAAGTGAAGGGAAGACATGTGGCATCTGTGATAGGTCTGTCTCTGCCGGCCATTTGGCTACTTGTAACCTGACCCAGAACTCCTTTAAGCTATAGCAAGCTTTGCTGGAGTTTGGCCAGAGCCCTTAGGATGAGAAAGGAAGAAGGGGTAGGAAAAGAAGATTTTTATGTTTCCCTTTAAAAGTAAATTTTCAGCAAGTCATCATTCTGAGTCGACCCTAAACAATGACTTGAAGTAGATTAGAAGCCAGTCTGTGCGTCCGCGCACATTGCGTCCCCAGCAGGCGTGGCGTGACGTGACCTCCCTGCTTCGAGCACAGCGGGGCCTGCCGTCCTCCCCGGTCGGAGGGGCCCTAGGACCTTGCGCGGGCTCCGCAGACACGGCGGGATGCCCGGGAGCCAGGCGTTCGGGCGTGGTGTGAGTGCCGCCTACCCTCCGCGTTTACACGTTCCACGGCTGCCCGGGGCGCACGCCCTGCTCTGTGAATGCCCCGACACCCGAAGGCCAACCTTATGCTGGGCCAGTCAGTGTACGTTTTTCCGAATCACTGACGATCAAAATTGAAGACACGTCCAGAGGTTTGATTGGTTGAGGCGATTTGTTCTGGTGGTTGATGTGTATTTTTATGTCTTTGTATGTAGTTCTACACAATGCAGACTTCTTTCTGATGGACAAGACCTCACAACTGTGATTAATCTCAATAAAAGGGACATTGCTGTGGCCAGCACGTGCGTGTGTTCAGTCCTTCTCAAAGCTGCCTTCTTTCCAGGGTCGCAAATGTACGAGCCAACTAAAGAGTTACTCCCCACACCTTCCCTGCCTAACACTGGTGGAACCAAAAGAGAGAGCTCAGATGAGAAAGGCGAGCCCCAATTCCCTGTTGCAAACCAGTATCCAGCACCAGCGTGCCAGGATGAGCTTAATGAAGGCTATCCGGAGCTCACAGGACCTACAGGAGAGACAGGCTTGAAAACTGGTTGAGATCCAAGAAAGCTAGAGGTGTGGGTTCCTCCGGACCCTGTCATGTCTCAAGAACAGCTTGGTTTGTGCGCCCCATCCCCAGTGCCGGTCCCTAGGTAATGACCCGCAGCCCTGACACCACCTCTGCCCCCATGGGAATCGACTCCACACTGGCCACCTCTCACCACCTCCTTCCACCCTCCTTGGCTTTGACACCATTAACCCCACTTTCCCGACAGGGCAGGTGAGGGCCAGGGAGTCTTACACGCCTGGGTGGCTACAGCCAGGGGCAGGGTCATTCAGCTTTGCCCGAGGATGCAGAACACAACCTCCTACCATTCTCCCCTGAGCTTTCCTGAAGCAAGGCCCTGCCAGGCCTCCACCCCCAACAATGTGGTGAAAGTTGGAAGCAAAGGAGAGCCCAGGGGCTGTTCTTTTCCCCTTCCTTTGGCATCCAGGTAAGATTATGTATAACAAAGCAACAGATCTGAAGTGTACGGAGTTCCACCAATATTTACCTAGGCGCCCTTCTTGGCCCGGTACTCGTTCCCCTCACCCCTTACCCCGCCCCAGCTACACACCCTGGGCCCAGCCAGCGGGGCCCATAGGCGTGGCGGGTGGGGGACATGGCCCGGGGCCTTGGCCAGGTGAGGCCGGGCTGCCTGCTCCGGAGCACGTTCCAGGTGGAGGGCGCCTCCTGACCTCGGCCTCCCTGGGGCTCTGGCAGGGAGCTGGGAGCAGGTCCATGACGAACAGGTGGGCGGTGCTGTTTACCTGCAGGGGGTGGGGCTGCAGGGCGGGGCATGAGGCGTTGCCCGAGCTTCGCACGCACGCAAGGGGCAGCCCCCCCCACCCTGCCCCACCCCGCCCGTGAAGCCCTGGGACTCGCCTCCCTCGGCCGCCTGCCCAGGGAGGGATGCCACCCTCCTCCTCTATCACCCTGCTGGGCTGCGGGGAGGCCAGTCTGACACCACCAAAGGGACCCGGGGCTCCCTGCTGTCTACGGGCTAGTCACTCCCAGCTTGTCCCTTCCAAGGCCTCCTTTGGGGCATGTGAAGTTTATACAGTTTCAGGAGCGCTCTTTGGGAAAAATAGCACAACAGTTCAAACACAGAATTAGGTACGGGGCTTTGGAAGGGGCGCCTGTGAACCAGCCACCCTGCAGCTCAGCCTTCCTTGGCTCCAAGGTCAGTTCACCGATGCTCGAGCTCTTAAATGGCTCTGCCTGGGCGCCGGTGAGGGAGGTCTGCACTGCTCTGTCCCGAGTCCTCTAGTGAATTCGCTGTCTGGCCATCGTCCCAGCCCCACAGCCGGGAGGAGGGTGGCAGTGTGTTCGCAGGCCTGAGGAATCCAACTTCCAATTCCCCCTCTCAGTCCTCCAGAGGGAGGAAGTGAACCTGGAAGGGGTTGTTGCCTCCTCCTTCCAGCAGGCTGCAGGCGGGAGGCTGGCCCTGGGCAACGAGGGCGGTGGCAGACAGCACCCGAGTCTATTCCAGCCGCGTCTCTGCTGCTTCCCCACGCTCTGGACAGTGCCCGCGCTCTGCCAGGGGCCTGAAGGCAAGGGGCACTGCCGGCCACCATCTGCCCCCAAGACAGCTGTTACTGAGACCTCCACAGCTTCTGGGGGTGCTGCTCAGCCTCGGGACCCCCGGGTTTCTTTAGCCCACTGGGGCTTGTGCTCTAAAACATGGCATAAAGGGGTGGATGGAGGAGATAAAAGGGCCAGTGGATTGTGTTGGCCCAGGGAAAGGTATATGATTCTTTGCACAGGGCAGACCCATGACCCGTATCTCAGCACCCCTGCGCCCCATGGTCCTCCCTCGGATGAAGAGATCAGACTGGAAACTGTGTGGGATCTCTGGCAAAGTAGGAGCCGGAAGTTTGTAAGCCTGTCGCTGGGCCCTCTCCATCTAGCAGGGAGGGGTATGGACCTTGCTGTTTGGAGTTGGTGAGGACCCAGCACTGGGGTTTTAGGCCAGGCTAGGATCTCCCTTCCCTGACTGCAAGAGCCATGACTTCCAAGAAGTCCAGGGTGTGTCAGGGGGAGATGGAAATGTAGAACAAGGTTGCCGGGGAGCGTGCAAAGAGGGGAGAGGCCCTTGCCACAGTGTGGTTCTGGTTCGTAGTGTGCGGTAAGGGTGGTGGAGGTGCGCCCCTTCACTGGCCTTTGCCTTTTAGGGTCGGGGTTCAGTATGCCCTGGGGTCACTGCCACACACACACTGGAGGGTGGCCCACGGAAAAGGACCATGAACTGCTCGAAGATCAGCCCTTACGTTTAGACTTCATGGTTTCTCCTCACCAGCCACCTGCCCCCTTTCCGCTTTCTTTTTTTCAGTGACAATGCTGACTGAACTCAACATGGGAAAGTACGGAAAAGTAAATTTTTTCACTTCTAACAAGCCTAAAATATAAAAGTTAAAAGAAAAAGACCAGTCTTAAGTGGTTCGTGAATCTGCAGGTTTCTTCCATGTGGACAACAGTTATGTGTGGTGACTCGGTGGGAGACGGTCATTGTATTTGTTCTCTGTCGTTGTGTAACACGCAACTGCAAACTGAGTGGCTTTGTGAACACACGCTACTGTCTCCATGTCTCTGGCTCAGGAGTCTGGGCACATGTTAACTGGTCCTCCGCGCAGGGCCTCGCAAGCTCAGGGCCTGGCTGTGTTCTCTCCCACAGGCTTGGTGGGGAAGGCTGCTGCTTCCAGGAGCACGCAGGGGTTGGCGGAACTCAGTTCCCGGCAGGGGTAGGACCAGGGCCCCAGCTTCTTGCTGACTATTGGCCGGAGGCTTTCCTTAGTCCCCAGGGGCCACCTGTAGCTGCCAGGGTGACTCACCATTCCTTGGCGTGTGGATGTCCCGTGTGGCTGCTCACTTCATGGAGCCAGCCTCCTGGTGGGTTGACTAGCAAGAGGGAGCCTTGCACAGTGCAGCAGTCACAGGAGAGACAGCCCTCCCCCTTGGCCGTACTCTCTCGGCTCATACACCCGGGTCACACAAGTCAGTGTCACAGGTTCGTGGTCATCAGTCAGGATAAGTAGACACAACAAGCTACATTCGTGTAGGTGTGATCTGATTTCAGTCTCCCTTTCGCACATGCATGCTGAGTGGTGCCCGGCAGAGAGGGGAGGGCTGAGTGAACGGAGAGGAGTCTGGAGCAAGGACACGTGCGGAGAACAACGCACCGGGCTGTGGGAGCTCAGGGCACGAACCCTGGTCTTTCTGCCCTCCTCCTCTCTCAGGAGTTTCCATGAGCTGACCCCCCACCCCCGCCAGAACTTGGGCCAGGGCCGTGGCCAACTCTTGACTTCTTTACGTGCCCCAGTGCAGGAGCAGGAGGCTCCAAGAGCTTGGGGAGCAGTGTCTGCCGGTCTGCGCCCTCCTGCCCCGTCGTCTCTCGCTAACGCAGCGGAGCTCAGTACAAACGTGTTTGGGATTCAAGTTACTCTCTCCGTGTTGACACCCACTGGGATGTGGCAGAGATGCCTTAATTTTGGCCGCTGCCTTTAACTGGGCCTAGGAACTTTTACTGTTCAACTCCCCATGTGACACTGGGTGGTGGTGGCTAAGTCTTGGCCATTGCCTATTCCTGGCAGGTGAGGGGAAAGGAAGGGAGACACAGGGACAAGGACCAAAAATCAGAGTCCACATCCAGGTCTGTTAGAGTGTATAGGCCTAGAGCCTCCCAAGGATTTCTCTTATATCCCTATATATTCAAAAGCTGTACAATGAAAACCACAGCACAAACCCTGGCAGTCAAATCAAGCTGAACTTTCTTGCTTTGGGACCCAAACTTGAATGTGAGGGAGATGTTTCCGGCCATCTCATGGAGATTAAAATAGATAACGCCCCGGAAACGGGAGAGGTTCGTGAACCGTGTCACCCTCCTCATAAGAGCTGTTTCGTTCCCCGATGAGTTACGTCTGCTTGGAGGAGGGCTGATGTAGGGGTGCGTGTTTGTTTAATGAAGAATCCTGGGCAAATGTGAAATTCTTGGCAAACCTGTCAGGTTGGCAGGTGCTGAAAAGAGAAGTCCTCTTTTTCCAAACCAGAAAAACGGATGCCAGTTTCCCATCATCGTCCTCACAGCTTAAACATGAAGCCACCGCTCTTAGCCCTCCGTGCATCTAGGCCCCAGACAAGGGGACTGTTTGGCTGGACGACACCACAGTCAAGGTTAAAGGGAAGGTCAGGTTTAGATCTTCTCCCCAGTGGGCTCTGTCATTCTGAATATTCATCTCCCAGCTGTGAAACATCAGGGTGAAAATGGGCGGAGGGCTTGGGTTGGCATACTGCTGGGGTAAAAGGGGAAACTGAGGGAGAAGGGGAGGGGGAGGTAAGTGGGGATACAGGCTGGCACCATTGGCAGCAGGGGAGACAGGTGCTGCCGCAAGCCTGGATGGCCAAACGTGGCTTTGGGAAAAGGCGGGATTAGATTAGGTCCCTTAGAACTCACCGCACTAACTGCGTGTCTCTGTGAGAGATGACAGTGCTGATAGCGTGGCAGATTGTGATCAGCCTTGGCAGGGGAGTGCCCAGCAGGGCTTTGTGGTTTGGTGAAATGCAGCAGACAAGCAGGGCACAAGGCTTCCTGGGAAACACGCCCTTCTCTGCCCAGGGCTGCCAACCCCACCCACACCCAGGCTCCTCCCACCAGCGGCTCAGCTTCCATTTTCTCCTCCGTGTACTGCTCCGGGAGGCCGGTCCCACCTGTTTGGCCAGGGAGCTATCACCCATAAGCCCCTGATGCCCTGCTTTCGACGTGA